TGTGTGTGTGTGTGTGTGTGTGTGTGTGTGTGTGTGTGTGCTGTGTGATGAGGAAGCTCGGTTTGGAGACACAGTCCAGAGGAGGAGCTGGTCCCAAAAGGCGGTTCTAGTCCCAGCCGGTTGTTTTTGCTCCCCTGCCTACTGCCTCAGGACACTACAGGATTTTTCAAACATGCATAAATGAGTTAAAGCAAGACTCTGGGCATGATTTTTTATGAGAGTATAACATTATAACATAATATAAAACTCAAAAATGTTGATTTTTACATGATTTAGCCCCTTTAAGAAATTATTGACTTGTCTTTGTTTTCTTTCAGCCAAGGAAAAAAAGCTGCTCAGCAAAGATGGCTTCCTCATGTACCTGCACAACCCAGAGGCCATGATTCTCAATCCTGAGCACGCAGAGGTGTACCAGGACATGCACCAGCCTCTCAACCACTACTTCATCTCCTCCTCGCACAACACCTACCTCATGGAAGACCAGCTGAAAGGGCCCAGCAGCACACAGGCTTACGTCAGGTAACAACTCATCTGTCTGTGAAAGCATCCTTGGTTAGCTGAGCGGCTTCAGCTTCTGCAGCTGACACGTACTGATTAGAAACAACTTTACCCAGATTGTCTCTGGTTATTTCTCTGCCCAAGTGTGACGAAGTAGGTGAACAAGAATCATTAGAGGCTTTCAGATTAAACCTACACATGAAAATAACTCGTTATAAACTTTATCTTGCTGTGTGTCAGAGCTCTGCTGAAGGGCTGCCGCTGCGTGGAGCTGGACTGCTGGGACGGGTCAGACAACGAACCAGTGATCTACCACGGTTACACCCTGACCTCAAAGATCCCTTTCAAAGATGTGATCCAAGCCATCAAGGAGAATGCCTTTAAGGTGTGTAACATCACGTAAGGTTTTGTACTGAAGTTGAATGGTTGCCACTGAACACTTCTGTTCTCCTCCAGATATCTGATTATCCAGTTATCCTCTCCTTGGAGAACCACTGCAGCGTGGAGCAGCAGGTAGTCATGTCTCAACACTTGAGCACCATCCTGGGCAGCGCGCTCGTCACCACTCCCCTGGGCGACGGCATGCCCAAAAACTTCCCCTCTCCTGAGGTTGGTGTCCACTTGGATTGTTTCATCTGGAAGCTTTAAAAAAAAGCTGTGGTGAGAGAGGATATTATTTACAGAGTGATACAGTGTGTTTGCACGCCTTCCTTCAGGAACTGAAGGGAAAGTTTCTCATCAAAGGAAAGCGACTAAACAAACTGGAGGTGAGCCTTCCTGACCAGGCAGCAGCTGATGACAACACTGATGTGACTGAGGAGGAGGAGTCAAATGAAGAAGATGAGCAGGAAGAGAAGAAGAAGAACAAGGTATGTGTGACATCATTGGTGTGCACATAAATCTGCACTTTAAAGGGATCCAGGATTAGTTGCAACATTAGACTTTATTTGATAAACATATATTTTAACTGTAAAATAAAGACTGTAAAAATACTGTAGGCTGTTGAGTTTTTATAAGTTTAAAAATATATTACATGGACAAGGCCATTTTATTTACATGCAAAGCATTCTGGGTAAATGATGACGTGGATAGGTCATGGTGCGAGGCTGCTAGCGAGCTATACGTATCCACCCTGAAGGTTAATCTTGGACAATATCTGACTATCGGCTCTTTAAAATGAAACCAGAGAGCGTTGACAGAGAGGAGAAGGTAGAAATGACTCAGCCTGGAACTGAAAATATAGATGGAGGACAACAGAGCTGCTTCATGGAAGAAGAACCTCAGCTTAGCCTGTTAGCTTTAGTGTTAGCCCCGACGCTATCCCCATATATACTGTATGTATTAGCTCAGCGCTACACATTCTCCTCTCATCACTGAGGTCCTCCATCCACATGACAGAGAGGAGAACGCAAAAATGATTCAGGCTGTAACTGAAAATATGGATGGAGGACCTCAGTTTAGCTTGTTTGTCGCGCTAACGCCGAGCTAATACATATAAGACAATATAGCATCAGCGCTAGCGCAAAGGCTAACAGGCTAAGCTGAGGTTCTTCTTCCATGAAGCAGCTCTGTTGTCCTCCATCCATATTTTCAGTTACAGGCTGAGTCATTTCTACCTTCTCCTCTCTGTCAACGCTCTCTGGTTTCATTTAAAAGAGTCGATCATCAGATATTGTCCAAGATTAACCTTCAGGGCGGATATAGCTCGCTCACATGAGGACCTACGTATCCACATCATCATTTACCCAGAATGCTTTGTATGTAAATAAAATGGCTCCGTTTGTGTTAAAATATATTTTTAAAAATTATAAAACTAAACATCCCACAGTTTTTTTAGTCTTTATTTTACAGTTAAAATAAATGTTTATCAAATAAAGTCAATGTTACAACTAATCATGGGTTCCTTTAACAAGCGTCTAATTTTACTCGTGTGTTATAGAAAAAGCTGAAACTAGCCAAAGAGCTGTCCGACATGGTGATCTACTGTAAGAGCGTCCACTTTCAAAGCTTTGAGGACGCAAGGACAAAACAGAGCTTTTATGAGATGTCATCCTTTAAGGAGGGGAAGGCCATCAGTCTTGCAGAAGAGTCGGGTACAGAAGAATGTCTCTGACGGTCTTTAACTTGTGCGTCTTCACGACGAGAGGCTCTGTAAATAACCCTTGGGTTCATGTACTTTTGTGCGCCGCAGCAAACGCCTACATCCGCCATAACGTGGAGAAACTGAGCCGCGTTTATCCTGCAGGCTCGAGAACCGACTCCTCGAACTATAACCCAGTAACCCTGTGGAACGCCGGCTGCCAAATAGGTGCAAAATCCTGACAGAAAAACGGAATTAGCATCTGATAATAACACCATCCGATAGCACGGATGGAAGACGACCTTGGACCTCATTTGTCACATTTTCTGCATTCTCTTTTATTTCCTCAGTTGCCTTGAACTTCCAAACAGACTCCAAAGAAATGGACGTGAACCAGGGCAGATTCCTGGTCAATGGCAAGAGCGGGTATGTACTCAAACCGGCCTACATGAGGGACAGCACCACTGAGTTCGACCCAATCACCCTGACCCGAGGAGAGTGGCTGAAGCACAAGACGCTGCACATCATGGTAGGATTGTCACAGTGACGACACCCACATGATGTGGGCCAGTCATGCTGGCACTGCTGGCATGGCAGGTGGTTTGTCAACCAGCTTTGGCAATAATGTCACCGTTTTTTAGACGGCGTGCCACAACTGGCCCTGTTTGGTTTATGTGGTGCTGGCCCATGCACGGACCACCTCTAGCAAACTGCACCTGGGCCCCTTAAAGGCCGTCATTCTTTATTGTACCTAGGCCAAGTGTCGGAGTGTTGGTGCATTGTGTGGGCCAGGCAAAATCTGCTGTGTGTGCAAACATTCTTTTGCAAATATTTACAATAAAAACCTGTTTTTTCAGTCTTGATCTCRATCTGCTACCAGGTTATATCAGCTCAGCAGCTGCCTAAAGTGAACAAGAAGAAATCTGCCATCGTGGACCCGTTGGTTAAAGTGCAGATCTTTGGCGTTCCAGCTGATGTTGCAAAGAAAGAGACCAATGCTGTTGAAAACAACGGTAACTTTTGAGGCTCTGTATACACACGGTCTGTTGTGTTTTGTACTCTCTTGGACCTAATGTTATGGTATTTTTTATTGTTACAATGACCTGTTCCTTTTAAAATAGTCGTGATAATGTAGGGAGGTATGCTCATCAGCATTTTGTGTGGCCCTYGGTCAAAATACTACAGATGCCTGACTGATGAGTCAGTTTGTACATTTGTTTACTTTGACTCGTAACCCATGTAGCGCTTCAGTGCCCTCTGGTCGCTGTCAACTCATTCAAGGAAACGTGACAAAAATATTACCAAACAACTCCTGCAATGTGCAGATATGAAGTCATGTCAGCGAAGCATCGCATTTCTGACGGCGCGCTCCTGATTCTGTGTTAAAGGTTTCAACCCAGCCTGGAATGAGAACTTCCTGTTTGACGTGTACGTGCCAGATCTGGCGCTCGTTCGCTTCGTCATRGAGGACTACGACTCTACGTCTGATAACGAGTTTGTCGGACAGTACACACTTCCTTTCAACAGCCTAAAAATGGGTGAGCTGTTTTTTTTCTTCCTGCCACAGTAACACAGTGTTGTCAAACCACTGACACTCCTGTGTTGTCTGTTTATATAAAGGAACAGAAAAGGGAACTTTTCCAAATTTGGGGAAGCAGTAGAGATCTCAGTGAGCTCTTCTAGTTTTCTGACTACAGCTGCTTTGTGCCTCCACAGGATACAGACACTTGCCTCTGTTCAATAAAACTGGAGACCTCCTCCACTCAGCTGGACTCTTTATTCACGTCATGGTCCTCGACGGAGAATGAGACAACGGGGAACGTCGCTCACACAGCCATCTTTACTTTCCTTTATGTACTCTTTAAGAATAACTTATTAGCTTTATCCCAGTAGTTGATGTGACTCCAGCAGAGATGTGATAATCTTGTCTGTCAGGGGACAGATTGGTCTCTAATTACATTGCAGGAACGATTCTACACTGTCCCTAATTTTTGGTCAGAGTAACGTTTTTGCTTTTTTTGTTCAAATCATTTGATTTAGAAAGAAAAAATCAATACAAAAGCAATGTGCCATGTTTTATTTACTCATTTTAGCATTGATAATATGTTTCTGTAGCCTTAGACTTTTATAAAACAAAAGTAATACACTCAACAAAAACATCTGTATGTGCGCTGTTTTTATTCTAATATTCTAAACAAACACTGATCTATATTRTTTGTGCCTCAAGATAAACACGTATTGCCTACAAAGCTTTGACGGTTCAGCTGCACACACAGTGATTATATTGTATTTGTTCACACATTATGGTTCTATAAGAGGGACAAATACTGCAGCTTACTAAAAGCTTACAGTCCTGTGAACTAATGCAACACAAGACAGACTTTCTTTAGGCTGAGCTCCAGTCATTACAAGGAATAAAGTTATTAGGAGTGAACTTTGGGTGGACACACCCTTTGTCTAAAGAGTGTCAATAAAAGGTTCAGGAACAGACAGGTTTAAGTTTCTTCACTGTCGTTTAACATGATCAAAAAAGGCAGGATGTTAAAAATGAAAGAATATGGAAAAGTTTAAGACACTTCCTTTACAATTCTAACAAGGAATCTATATTTAAATGTAGCATCATCAAGTCTATAACTTATTTAACTATTGATCAAATTTTTTCATGTAATTTACCAGCAGTTATCTACTGTAGCATTTTTACATTTCAAATAACTCATCTTAATTGTAGGATTTTTGTTGGGACAATAGCAATGTATGTGTAACAGCAGCAACACAAAGTGGTGGATTAAGATTTAAGTTTCCTTTAAATTGCAATGGTGTGAAATGAGGTTCCAGCAGGGGGAAGCAACATTTGTTACATATTTTATTTAGTTGGACACACTTTACCTGTTTGCTGCTGCTCCACAGGTAGAGCATCCACTTCAACGTTAAGGAGCCCAGCATTTATTTGACATCTCCAGTGGTGGGCAGCACTAACCTAAAAATTAGTTCCACTACAGTCTAGCTACAGCCAGGACATTTAGGCTGGAAACAAACAAAGTTACCATTAATTTACTGACAAATGACAAGCAACAACCCTCCATAAAAATGTATTTATTGTGACATCTGAAAAAAATCAAAAGGCGAACACATCCAGCTGACTGTAAAAGTCTTGAATGAACACTGAACATAACACAATGAGAAGAGCACACGACTCGTGGCTGTTGATGGTCTTTGGCCTTTAGTAATGTACCATATTGGATGTTAGTGCAGCAGAAAAAAAGACATGACCAAATAGTCTTAATGAAGCCTTTATTAAGAAAAAGAATTAAAAGATGATGCTCAGGATGATTGAACACTCTTGCCAAAACTTAAAAGTCAACAAAAACCAGTGGTTTTTTTTTTTTTTGTTTAAATGAAAAGTGAAGAACCTGACCCATACAAGAAGCACAGTGACCCAAACTCAAGTGTTTCAGAACTTTGGTGTTAATACAAAATGATCAATACGTGAGAATGAGTGAAGTGATACATAATGGAAAACTATAAAGGAAGCAAGCACAACTTTTTTTTTTTGATAAAAAACTTAGCAAGTTCTTACCAAAATGATTCAACAGGTCTGAAACAGGAAAATAAAATAAAAATCTAAAATACACAGTTCTTCAAAGTGAATACTGACAAGATGAAGGTAGAAAAATATTACAAGGATAAACATTTTCAGAGCAAGGTAATCATGGAGAGATTGAGAGGAGCTGAACGAACGCTTCGTATAAAAAGGGCATTGCACCAAATCCATCATCATCAGCTGAAAACTCATCAAGACATGCTAAAGATTAATGTTCAGCTTTTTTCAGTTTCCTGAAGGAGCAGCAGGCTTTYCGTTTAAAATAAGAAAGTAGTGTAAGTTTTAAATTAAACACCAAAAATGATAACCATGGGGCATTAACTGCATTAACTGATAACCCAGCTGAACCACATCTGATCCACATATGTGGCTGAGCTGCGTTTAAGCTCCAAATTAAAAAAATAAACATGCTGATCTTGCAAACCTTGGTTTGGCAAAYCATTAATGAGTTTCTTTGCCGTCCTTTTTTTTAGCACCCCAGTTGTGTTTCAATCTGAGGTGGACCCTAACGGGGGGCCTTCAAGGACGGAGCAACTATCTGTAAACTCCCAAGGCATCCTAAACTCAGCTTTGCTCAACAAAAGCTGGGAAATATGGCAATGGAGGTGACTGATTTGGCTGCTGTTACTAGAATCAACCAAGCAACATTCAAGTTGTTCCAGCACTTTAAATTTGATTTATTAAAGGATGCTTAGAGGTCGTTTTATCTGTACTATCAGAACCTGTTGAACTGTTCCACCTCCAAGTGCTCTWACACAAACCAAACAACCGGGATGGAAACTCCGCTCCAGAAAAGGTTATTGCCATGGTAGCTAATGTTGCAGCATTTGGTTTTGCTGGGCTCCTCTCAAACTTAGGCACTGAGGTGAAGAAGAGTTTTAAACACAAGTCTGGGAAGATAAACATCAAATATGGTCTTCGCTGATGTTACAGCCGGTCTGGATGAAGGCCTGGGCCGTCACCAACATGTAAATCAGGAGAACGCTGTCCTGACCGAACTCTGTTCCCTTAACACTCCGCTATCACAAACAAAAAAAATACAAACAAAAATAAAACATGGCACTTGACCAGTTTGCTGTAACAACCCAGACCATTTGAAACATTTTATAAAAGGACACCTTTGTAAATGTGCACCATTTGAGAAAAATTCACGAGTGCTAAAAGAAAATATAATAACAATTGAGCCATCTAAACATGATGTGACAGAAACGAGCCTCATGACAGCAAAAAGAAAAATGAATTCAACATTTTAAAAACAAGTGATAATCTATGATGATTTAACAGTTTTAGCTCAAACCCTGGCGAAGATATGAAGCCTGTTAAAAAATATTTTCCTTATTTGGCAAAAAATAAAATGCAGTAAGGGTAATAAAATTTAAGAGTCAGGATAATAAATGTCACAGTTTTATCTGAGTTCTCAGATCAAACAAAACAAAACAAAAAAAAAAAAGACTGAACTTGCAGGTGGGCCGTGACAGACATCACTGCAAGCATACGCCTAAAACAAAGCTAATTCTACATACTGTATAATGAAAGCAGAAAGAAAAACAAAGTCACACTTATATAATGGCACGAGTATACTGGAAAAAAAATCGTGAGACAGTTACCCGGCTTTTGCCGATCGAAAAAGTGAAGTAAAACTTTTCAATTCTGTGTCCACTTTAAAGCATACTGTGTGAAAAAAAAACTGAAGTAATCTGAAAATATGTCATGTACAAAATAATTCCTCATAGAAACAACATTCACACAAGGCACTTCATTCAGTAAGAAAAGAGTCACAGTCCTTTCTACTACCAGAAACTGCCTGCATAGCAACAATATGAGGACAAAATATTTTCCAGACTTTTGTGCTGTACCACAAAATAAGTCTCAGATGGAAAGATGCTTTCTTTTTTTCTTCTTTTCCTTTTGGTTTTAAAAATAGCACTTCACCAAATAGTAAAACTTTGATTTGAAAATAACGACCAGAGTTCATTTCTCTTAGTATTTCGTCCCCGATGCTATGAACTAGGGATTCTCTGTACACTTTCTGGTGGTGTTTTTTTTTTTTTCTTCTGTGGGACGCAGTGGTCCTGGGATGACAGATGTTTTCTCTGATGGCACTCAGAAGGCAGCCAGTCACCGGGGAGAAGAGAGCAGAGACACGGCTGCACAAAGGTTTCCACAGTGAGATTCTAAAAGGTGTGTCCTTGAGGTCATCTGCCCGAGTCGGGAGGAGAGGTGGCTGCAGAAAGGGACGGGTCGACGGAGAGAGAGGCGCTGCGGTGTGTCCTGCTACCTGCTTCTAAGATTCTGCAGGACCCCATAAACCTCGTCTTCCGTGCTGATTCCCTCAAAGAAAGGCAGCAGGTCCAGCAGTTCTGTGTCATTCATATCGTCAAACCAGGACTGAACTGGAACCTGGAGATACAGAGAAATACTTGTTTTAAAAAAACTGCATTTTCTTTTTTACTACTTTTTTGTTTTAAAAAGGGATCCGCGATTAGTTGTAACAATACAAAAATGGGTGACATTAGTTGTCACCCATCAAATACATTATTTTATCAGTCGAAATTAATGAAGTTTTACGAGTTGGTTGATTATGATATTTTGCAGGTTATGTATAAGGCTCACAAAAACGTATTACCTTTGAACATCCAATCACATTTTGTTAAGAGGGAAAGTGGTTATAATCTGAAGGGATTAGAAATGTAAAACCTAAAATGCGAATAACTTTAAAAGGACCGATGTACTTCAGTCCAAGGAATACGGTTATGGAATACTCTGGATAGTGATTGTAAAAATGCTGGCTCAATTAATGTGTTTAAAAGAACGATAAAAAATGATTTGTTAAAGAACAATGAAGTTCTATAATTTGTATTTATAAGAGCTGCTGTTTAGAAGCTGAAGTTTTGTTTTGTTATTGTTTGAAACTATTATTATAGTTAATATATATTTTTAAATAGGGGCAGATATAAGATTTTTTCTTCTTTCTGCTACCGTTCAATTTATTTGATATGTATTTTTTTGTATGTGAATTTGTTTGTTTTTAAATTAACTAAATATTGTCAAAAAACTCAAGACTTTATTTGATAAACATACACTTTAACTGTAAAATGAAGACTGTAAAAATACTGTAGGCTGTTCAGTAAATTTGTAAATTTATAAAAATAAATTTTAACACACTGAGCCATTTTATTTACACAAAGCATTCTGGGCAAATGATGATGTGGATAGGTCCTCAGTGTGAAGGAGGACAAAAGAGCTGCTTCATGGAAGAAGAGCCCCAGCGTAGCCTGTTAGCTTTAGTGCCAACGCTATATTGCCTTATATGTATTAGCTTGGCGCTAGCGCGACAAACTAACATGTTAAACTGTTGTCCTCCATCCATATTTTCAGTTACAGGCTGAGTCATTTCTACCTTCTCCTCTCTGGTTTCATTTAAAAGAGTCGATCATCAGATATTGTCCAAGATTAACCTTCAGGGTGGATATAGCTCGCTAGCAGCCGAGGACCTATCCACGTCATTTACCCAGAACGTTTTGCGTGTAAATAAAATGGCCCCGTCCATGTAATATATTTTTTAAAATGATAAAAACTAAACACCTTACAGTATTTTTACAGGTCTTTATTTTACAGTTAAAATAAGTATTTATCAAATAAAGTCTGATGTTACAACTAATCGTGGATCCCTTTAATGAGTCTTATGAAAGTAGTACTGAACTTACAGCATTTTCTGGATGGAAAATATAAGAGGCAGGTGAATTGTCAACAATAATAACGTTGTTGAGCTCTCGGCCCAGTCGACTGAGGTCTTTAACATAGTTCCCTCTGTGAAAAACGCAGGACTCTCTAAAGAGTCGTGCTCGAAACACGTCCCACTGGTCCAACAGATCTGCCACAGGGTCTGCATACTGCCAGAGTCAAACAAACAGAAAAGATGTGACGCTGCAGGCAAAACTCGTGTCGAAGATTTACTAAGTTTCACAAATACCAAAGCACAACAAAAAGTTGATAAATGCATTTGATGAACTCAGAGGAAGCACATGTCAGAGCTGCAAAAATAAACTTTTTTTAAACTAATGGTTCTACTATTATTTTAACAGGAAGCAAAGCATATTGTCTTTCAAAACTGTTTACCAAGCAAGGAAGATGTTTCAGGAAACTAGGACACAAAAAGCACAGCTGAATCCTAACCTTTATTCAGCATGAGGATTATCAGCTAAAGACAAAAGCATCAATCACATTTACCAGATGGGGACAAATTTGTTTGTTCAGTTTTCATAAAAAAAAAAGGGAAAAATAAAATAACTTGAAACTGACAAAAGTAATAAAAAATGTACTGAATATCAAGTAATAAAAAATAGCCATTTCTTTTGATTAAGATTTTTTTTTATTAGAAAAACAAACAAATGAAACTGGCTTTGACAAAAAGGGATAGTGCCCTTAAAGTAGACATATCCTGCTTTTAAACCTTTTTCCACATTTAAATCACTCAGGGGAACTGCAAAGGCTTGTGTCTCAATTTKACCTTACTGTAACTCCACAAGCCCCTCTTTCACCCCTTTTCTGAGGTGTGTCTCAAAACYYCTCATTTTAAWTSCAAACTTTCAGCTTCCAAAGCGGTCTGTTCTAGTTTAGAGGCATTTACAACTATATTCTGGTGCAGAAATGTTTTTACGGGTGACTTTCCAGGATATTTCCCCTTTAACTTAACATTTTTCTTGCCCAATCTTTTGAGGCAGTTACTGCAATCAAGCTGTTTATATAACTCTAGTTCTGCACCTGTCCACAGATACTGTATTGGTTAATATAGCTGGGATTTCAACAAAATTATGGTGTCTTATTTTGTAAATACGGATGTTGTGCTCGTTTCTTTTTCTGTTGGTGCGACGTAATCTTTAAAAATTGACTCCGGAGCAGCTCCTGCATCGGATCTAATTTTGCCTGATCGCCGTCCACTCACCGCCACCGTGCGGAGCCAGTGTCAATACTCTTATTGATTATAATGGGTGCGTATTTGCAGCGGAGGTCAGACTGGAGAGGAGCGGAGCCAGACCGCATGTAGTGTAAATTAGGGGTTACAGTCATTTTCCATTAAGTCCACTTTGGCTCAAACAAAGACAGATGATGTGATTTAACACTGATGAACTTTGACTTTAAAGTTCACCTCTAATCTGCTTGGAAGTTGTTCTAGGACTCTTGGTTACCATTTGTATAATTTATCTGCTCAACTTGTTTTCAATTGTCCTTTTGCAGCCACGTCCAGAGAGTTTGGCTACAGCTCCATGGACCGTAAATTGCCCATGACATCAAATCACAAAGTGTTTCCCCTACCATTACCCAAGGCTGGCGCCCCACTCTGTCGACAGAGCCGAGCACCCTGCTTACCAAAATCCCACTTCCCACCAAAGGTTTGGCTACTTCCAGACAGGAAGAGGAGATTGTAACCACAGAATAAGTGGCTTTGACTTGGTAACATTAGTAACATAGCGCTCTGCTACCTGCACCCCATTCAAAAGCAATGTCTGATTGTTCTTAGTTGTTTTTAGTATAACTTTCCCTACAATTACTTTTGTCAGTTTCAAGTTATTTTAATGACCTTGGTTGTTTTTTTTCTTTCTTTTATGAAGCAGCGCCAACAAATTTGTCCACATCTGTACATAGTTGTCTCTGAGTCTCTTTCTTGAAACTTACCCAAGTATTTTTGGCAAAGATATAAAAAATAAAATAAATAAATAAAATAAAAAAGGAGGAAGAGAGAGCAAATCGAAGGACGTAAAAAAATCAAAGAGAGTGAGAGCAGATTTATTGTTCAGCATGAGTCACTAGTTGTAAACAAAACAAGTTGGAACAGATAGCCTCATCACATCTTTACGCACCTTCGCAAGACTGGCTGTGAAAAGCACGCATTCAAATAACTCTCCCATCTTCTTCAAAAACTCATCCACGTGGGGTCTTTTCAGCACATACACCTGCAAAAAGCATATTAATCAAAGTCAACCCTAGTCAAAGTCCTTTATTAGTCTCCTTTGGAATCCCAATAAAAAACAAATCAATAAAGACAATGTCATCTCCACACTGCAGTTTACAGCAGAACCACTACTTGACATTAGGACCTTTATTACTAATGGTGACTGATAACGTGTCCCTCTCTTCGGCCAGCGGCTGACACCCAGTGCAAGTAATCTTGAATAGGCCAACCAGGATACACACAGCCTATCCTGGATTACTTGAAGTGGATAACAGCCAGTCTTCCAGGGTCTTCACACAGGAAACAAACGAATCCTTTCCCTCTTAATGTAACAGATCTACTTGACTAAAGAACATCAGATTTTATATTACCTGATGAACAGTCCCGTCTATCTCCACTGGTACGATGAAATCAGCGTTACTGATAGGCTGCGGAAGAAAATAACAAGATATTGAACTTTCAGAGTAATACTTTAATTGACCAGTAGAGGTCCTGCAAGTAGCACTAAAACTAATCACTGGTTAATAAAGTTGTAGATGTTCTTCTATGAGAGTAATGTTGTTCTTTTACAGTCATACCACATGACACCCTTACTGTTAATAGAGTAGTTATTTACCATCACAAACAATGAAACGGTTTTCTTCTGACAGAACTGGACAGATGAAGGGTAATTTGAGGTTTAGGGGCGGGGAACAGAAATTGAAACAAATTAAATTTAAAGACATCCAATATTCTGAAGACAAACATACCCTTGTGTTTTATCTAACTGCACCCACAACTGATTTTTTTTAAAGAAAATTTAATTAAAAGAAATAAATAAAACAGCTACAGCAACTTAATATTTCTGACCAAAAACCACATAATGCAAAAGTGACACAGACGTGAAGCTTTTTAGAACATTTGCACCATGAAATTTTGTAAACTGAAGCAGGTTTAGAATGTCAAAATCCACATTAAAAGATCAAACAGACGAGACAATTTTAGCTCTTCAATTTGGTAACATTAAGAAATTGCTGCCACCACTCTTGACCCCTGGAAATGCTACATCTTCTGGTGCTATTAATTCTTGTAGAAACAAAAATAATTCCATGCAAATAACCATGTAATGCAAAACTTATTCCTTTGTAAAAAGGTAGAAAATAGTATTCAAATGAATCTCTTTATACTTTAAGCTTGGTTGAATCCTGAATTGCTGCGAGATCATCACTCCTCTCAGACAAGCTATTTCTGCAAACTAAGACTATTTAAAAAGTTAAAAAGGAAGACATGTTTTATTCAGAAACCTATTTCAAAATGGCCCAAATATTCTTCCTATTCCACGTACTTACTTTTTTCGTTTGCAGCCATCTAATGGCCTCAACATAGGTTTAACTTTCAGCATTTAATGTGTTTAACTTGGATTATATGATTCTGATTCTCATTGCAAAACAAAAAAATAAATACAAGCAAGTTCACGTTATCCACATGCAGGTAGAACAGTCGTCAGAACTGAAAGCCTCATTTTTGTTTTCTCTTACCTTAAAGGAGCTATGTACGAGTGTTTCGTCCAAGTCAATCACCACACATTTTCTACCATAGTCAGATATTTTCATCTCTGGTAGGAGGTATTTAGCTGGAGGCTGGAAAAAAGGACACAGTATAACATAAGGCTGTTAAAAAATGTTGGGTATAAAAAGGCTCTTTATATATTAACAAAAGAGACACTCAAGTTGCAACCGAACTGCAGTCAGCTTTAATTCAATGAGACTAAAAACACCTAATTTATTTGTAAAGTCCATGTACAGCAAACAAAATTTCACCTAAAGCTTCCTTTACACCATTTCTTTAGCATTTTAAATAGTTCTAAACAGAACATAGTAAACGGTGCAACTGAATAAGTGCACATATATAGATTCTATAAATAGCCTTGCAAAAACACAGCCAGACATTGTTACAAACAGCAACCAGTGCAATGAGAACGTCACATCTGGAACTTCTCAAAGGTTTTATAAGAGACGTTCAGGATTAATGGGTAAACCGCTGCCGCTGATGGTTATGACTGAATGGACTTTCCTCTCTTCCCACAAACATTTGGTACACCTGGATAMCCCCGCTACCAGTGTGCTTAAAATTTTATGTGACTTAGTTTACAACTAAGAAACAGACATTCACCAAATCTACAGCTCATGCTCACATATTCAGTAAGGAAACTGAAWGTAAAATAAATTGCACTCCATTTCCTTTTTTATTAGAGGTGGTGTGTTTGACAGCTCTCACAGTGAGAGCTGTAAAATACTTAACAAACCCACCACATATCAGAGCAAATGAAGAAAGAAATAAGGTTTTTGTGATTTTTAAAACAATGTTTTACACAAGACTGTCTCAATTTATTTATCATTCATGCACAGGTAGGTAGTTAAGATAATTTAAGGAACGTTAACACCACTTCAAACTAGGGTTGGGCAAAATCGTATCATGTGCAGTTAATCATCAGAAAAACTTTAATCGGTTATTTTTTGGCACTTGACTTGACCAGACAGACTGACTGGAGATTTCCCCGGTTATTCAGCTCAGTGCTCCTCTCCACTTCAAACATAATGAACATTTTAAAAAGGTTATATAATTTATTTATCATAACTCCAGTTTTACTTGGTATATCAACACAATTTAAAAACTGATGTATAACCTGACGTTTGTATTTTCGACTGTTTGGAACAGATTTTTTACAAAGAGCAAACTTTTCCCACTAGAGTGATTTAAATTGATCATGTGACTAGGGTATGAGGGCCTCCAGGGATTATTCATCATATTAATCGTTATTGGCTAAATACCACAATTAATCATGATTAATTTTTTTGGCAATATTGCCCAACCCTACTTCACACAGACTCTAGGATTTTCTATTTTACTTTATTTGCTTAATTTAGTCCCTTAGTGTGACACAGTAAAGCAATGGTTAGTGCTGCAGCCTCACAAGAAGGTTGCATGTTTGCCTGCGAGTCCTTCTGTGTGGAGTTTACATGTTCTCCTCATGCACGCATAGGCTTTCTCCACAAGACCAAAAACATGCATATTAGGTTAACTGATAACAACTCTAAATTAGGGTTGGCCAATATTGGCAAAAAATTTAAATCACGAAAAATTGTAGTATTTAGCCAATAACGATTAATTTGACAATTAATCCCCTGGAGTCCCTGGACACCCTTATGTCCTGGTCACATGACCAATTTAATGAGAAAGAATTGCTCTTCATACAAATCTGTTCCACATTGTGTCAAAATTACAGACTTCAGCCTGTCCATCAAATTTTAAATTGTGTTGTTAGATAAATAAATTACACAACTATTTTTTTTTAATGTTTGTCATATTTGAAGCAYAGAGGAGCACCGAGCGGACTCTGCCTGGTGGCATTAATCGTATTAATCGTTAAGTGCCAAAAAWTAATTGATTAATGTTTTTCTGACGATTAATTGCACACGATACGATTATGCCCAACCCTACTCTAAATTGTCCCTAAGTGTGTGTGAGAGACTGATTGATTGTCTTGTTTGTCTCTATGTGGCCCTGTGATTGATATGGTTAGGGTGCACCCAATCTCTCGCACAATGACTGCTAGACATAAGCATCAGCTTCCCGTAACCCAGACAGGAAAAAGTGAGTAAAGAAAAATGGATGAATGTAAGTAAAACAACTAACTAATAGTCCATTATTGAGACAGGATAAAATCTAGAAAGGTTAGAGAGACAAAAAGAGTATCCAAATCATGTTTAGAAAGAAATGCACAAAATAGTTCAGCAGCAACAAAAATACAGAAAAAGATAACCTAAACGGATGAGTACAATTTTTTTCCTTGTCCACATAAAATATTACATCCAGCAGAGTCAGTATTACTTGGCAACAAATATGCATTGTAATAGCTCTATTTACATATACTGTAATTACTAGGGTAACTGAAGGAAACTTTAAAAATATTGATAAAAAATTTAAGAAAGGAAGCTAAAATTAGGTGTTTTATCTGCTGAGTGTTTATACTACAGAATTGCATTTAACAAAGATATTTTGCACATGATGCTAAAGTTCTAAAAACTCAAGAAACTAAACTGCATCAAGCAGACACATAAGTTGTTTTTAGGATATTATTTTTTCCGACCAAAACTCCTTGAATCAAGAGACGCAAAGCTCCCCAAACAACATCAAACACCTTCTTACTGGTTGCATTGCAACTAAAGGAGGTTCCCCTGTTGTCACAAAAAAGGAGGGGAAACTCCTCCAATGGATAAGAGAACTATAAAAATGTCTCTGTGGGCAGTGTTATGGCAGGAGCAGTATGGCTGCCAAAGGAACTGGGTCACTGGTATTTTAATTAATGATGATAGAAGTAGTAGGATGATTTTAAAAAGGTATGAAGCACTATTTTTACAACATTCAATTTCTGTAAACTGTTTTGATAGTGCTTTCTAGTACAACACTAAAATAGTCACCAAGGAGAACCTAGAAGATGCACAAGAATACTGTTACCCTGGGCAGGGTGGGTGGCTATTCATCTCAAGCTCAGGTCCTCTACCAGAGGCCTGGGAGCTTGAGGGTTCTTCACTGTATCTTAGCTGTTCTTAAGACTGCGCTTCTCTGGACTGAGATGTCAAATGCTTCTCCAGGTATCTATTGGGGCCACTTCTACAGTGTGGAGGTCACTGTCCCAAGTGCTCTGATGACCAGAGGTACTACACCTGCCAGGCTTGTTTTAGCTCTTCCTCTCTGAGACCCTGGTATTTCTTCAGTTTCTCATGTTCCTTTTTCCTGGTGTTTTCATCTTTCACGCACATATATACACACACACGGGGTGCAACAATACAGGCAATTGTATTGGAACTGTTCAATACAGTGCTTTATGTCCAGTACACACTATGTATCGAACAATACAGATTTTTAACATTTATTTTATCAGCTTGTCTTCTAAAGATGTTTTGTGTTGAAGGCTCAGTGGATTTGTGTTCAACTACTTCACCTAGGTTGCATTGTGGAGCACAGATGCACTGAGAAACCTGCTGTTTCAGCAACATTTAATTTAAAAACTGTACTTTTGAGGTTAAACAAATGTTCATCATTAATTTCAATATATTACAAGTAGGCATGGAAATGTCTCTTTTTTGCATTGAAAAAATATCAAACCAAACCAAATCATGAATTGTCTGTATTGTTGCACCCCTAATACTGTATACTGTGTGTGTGCATATGTGCATAGAGAGAGAGAGAGAGAGAGAGAGAGAGAGAGAGAGAGAGAGAGAGAGAGAGAGAGAGAAAGCAACTGTTTTAAACTCAACCCTTTTTCATGACTTTCAAACTTTAGGTTTTCTGATGATGAGGGATTTGTATTCCAAATACACAAAAGATTCCTTACGTATAGCTTTTTTTCCTCCATAACTTATGAAAACAAATTGGCTTTGTAAACATCTCTGCTGATTTCTAAACATTTGGTGCAATAATTGTGATTCACCGCTTGAATTACAGCTGGAGGTCAATTCAATCACAGCCCAGATACTTTWTGAACTCAACTACTAAATAGATTTATTTTTCCATTAACTTGGGATAAAATGTTATTCTTACAAATTAGTTTGTCAGGAAAATTTGAAAATGCCAGTACACATACAAATGTGTGTGAACACGACAAAATGAAATAAAGCTATGACTCAGAGCAAAAATATTTACTGTAATAAAGCAGTCAAGCTACACAGTCTCTGATGGGAAATGTGACCAACTTGTTGACTAGCAGAGCACACTGAGTCTTTCTGTGACTGAGGGTATCAATTAGTCTCACCTAAAGAATACAAACTTACATACAAAGCACTGTTGCAGACTTTAAATCTTGCTCTCAAGATCATTCATTTCAGTCGATTCCAAGATAAGGCTTAACTTCTTGCATTGAAACTTTGGAGGCAACTAACCAACATAGCTTCATGCCTCATTAATTAGACATTTTGTTTCTCATATTTTCTTTAAGCATACAACCAAGTGATGTTCCTGCAGGYGAAGAACTTGGATATTTGACACCATAAGTGTGTATACACTTTGATGAAATTAAACTACAGTAAACGGAATGAGACAAAGCCCCTGGAAAAGCAATGGAGCCCACAAAGAAGAAGAATACACCAGTACTAGCCCACTCAGTCTGCATGCAAAGAAAAATAAATAAAAGTACAATACATACACTAGGAACAGGGCTGACCTCGACCTGGTCACACTACAACACAAGAGAAATGGACACATAAAAAATAGGGTGAGGGTTAGAAGAGCGTTCATAAATAAATGAACAAACAAAAGGGTAACAGAAATAAAACAAAAAGAAGACACACAAAAACAGATTAAGTTTCAAAGCTGAAATGAACTTGTGAAGTATTATTTGAGGACAGCTTGTATGTCCTCTGTTGAAGGGGTATGTTACCTTTGGAGGAGATCCATTCTCCTCGACAGGTGGAGGCGGGGAGCTGGTGTTTGTGGATGGTGGCTCCACATTATAGTTGCGAAAGCAACACAAGAATGTGCTGAATATGCCCCGACTCCTCTGCTTCTTCAGGCTGCTGTTTGACTGAGATGCTGTGAACACATGGAGAATGGGTAGAGAAGAGAGGGTAAACAAAGATTTACAATTGGATGGGGMTTGAAACAAACTAGATTAAATTACTTATTTACAAAAATGTTGGAATGCACCGAATGAGATAGTAATGCATTATATCAGCAATGAACTGACTGAATCTGTGTTGGACTGTAAAATAAATGTATGATTTGGACTTGTTATTTTTGTAAAATGTCCTGAAAAAACCTGTTGRGGATTGGAACAAAATAAATGACTTGAGCTGAATTATTTACATGACAAGAGATGAATGCTGCTTTAATTAGTAGGAACAAAATTTAGTTGGTAATAATAATTTCCTCTTATGGTTACAGGGGTGCAAACTACAGAGAACAATGGCCTTGCATGTGTGAATAAATGACAGCTTTGATTTTGTACATGAACCACCACTGACCCACTGATCAGAAAATAACTTTGCTGCCCGGGTGACTTCATCACTCAAACACTGACAGTTCAGAGCATGCTCTTCTCCAGTTGCAAATCACCTCTCATTCCAGGACAACGAAGCACAGGCTAAATCAGATAGTGACATTTAGACGCTCAAGAAACTAGAGCCACTATAGTTATAGTAGCTCCCATTTCCTGCGTGGACAAGAGATTTCATCTTCATTTAAAAAACGTGCATGTTTCCCTGCCCTTTGCCAGCTGGCAGGTGAGTGACTGAAACAGCATGAACACGCACATGCTAAAGAGAGGGAGGAGGTGGGAGGCACTCGGACCCTAAAGAGACTATACAAGGCTGCATTCCACTCCGCCTATTAGTACCCCTCCTCACCCAACCAGAATGCTTTTGCAACTAAAGGCCGATGAGGAGTAAATAGCATTGTGTCAGATCTTGTGGCATCTTAATATTGTGACACTACGCACTCCTGACCTTAGACAACAAATACAAAAAGAGGTTAGTATGAAAATTTCAAGTTATTTCCTAATTCCAATTCCTACAAACAAAATTGCTCTTATACAATTTAAAGCAAAGAAGCTTTGAGTCATGAAAAAGCATCATGTGGAGCTAAGAAGATTCATTCTGAAACTAACTGACAATGTAGCAGCATGTCAGAGCTAACARAAAACACTTTCTGCAACACGTTTATCATTTCCTATCACTGACTTCCAGTAATTAATGACGTCCTGATGCATCTCAGTAATCCAGGTAAAAAATCAAAAAGAAAAAAATTGTATAGGTCTTCTGGACGGGTTCTTCTTTAATGAAACGTTTCGTCTCTTCTCCAAGAGACTTCTTCAGTCTGAGAGTTTCAGGCAAAATTCAGGCTTTTAAGCACTGCCTCCATGTGACTAAGTAAGTTACTAAGTAATTAATGACAGCTTTTCAAGCACCGTGTATTTAAGTTATAACTTATGACTCGAGTTTATTCACTCCAAAACAAGTTCAATACAGTTGCAGTATGCACTTTTAAACAATGGGGCAAACACTAAAATACTAAATGCTTTGATTTCATTAAGAAACTGAACACAAATATATTCTCATTCTGTGTTTCAGTTTCAGAATATTGCAGGCCAATCCCAAATACAACGATCAATCGACTGATTTGGAGAAGTTTGTGGAAATACCAGCAATAAATTTACCTTTTCTTTTTTTTTTTTTTACTAGAGTTCTGTAGCCACTTTAAAGACACACTAACCAAATTATTATTTTGCATTGCTTTTGTTACAGAGAACTATTCAGATGGGTTGGGTTCATCAAACTAACCATTAAAAGTATATGAAGTTTTTGATTAATTAAAATAAATTAGACTTTGCTCCTTAAAATTGGCAGTGAAGCAACTGTTGTTTTCCAGTGTCTCAACACTACAAGTCACAATATTGATTCCTGCACAGTTTCTAAGAAAAGTGGTGAATCACAAAAACCATCTTTAGAGTCATTTGATTACTTGTWACAATCACAAATCAGAATCATTGTACAAAACATTTTGACAATTATGCAATGGCTATGATTTATCTTTACTTCTACTCCTTTACTGACATCACCAAAACATCCCGACTCTTCAGTACGTCCAACTCAAGACTGTTCAATCGAAGGTTGTGACAGCAAAGAAATTAAACTGTTTCCCCCACTAGAGATTTATTTTTTTAAAAAAGGAACAAAACTTGTGTCAAAAACTCAAGCAGTAGATTATTAACCCAACTTTTATGTTGTACCATTTAGATTATTTTAAACCAAACATTTTGATTTTTTGCAGATTGTCCTAAATGTTGCAATCATACTTTTAACCAGAACGAGAAKACTAGATGTCTGTTTTATTGTCTCTACTGGATATCCTCAGTATATTTCTGGCTTTTTAAAGCTAACACTTCAACCTGAACCCTCAAGTCATCTAAGAGTAAATTATTATTAGACAGAGCTTATATAAAATTATTAAAATTAGAGACTTTCTTATTTGTGTCTTTTCTAGTCCTTTTATGCTGGTTAATGTTATTGTCCTTGCAACCAATTTTACAATAATACATTAAAATTGCTTTACTATTTGATAAAAGGTGTCATAAAATACATTTTGGGGATATACAGTGTCTCAGAAAAATAGGTAGATCCTGATGCATTTTTATTTTTTCAGCTGTAAAATAGGAAGTTAAAAAAGGTCAAACATTAAGCATCTATCTTCACAATCAAAGTAAAAATATAATAACGTTAGACATACAGTGTGTGAATCCACACAAAATGTTTGTCACCAACAGCTAATACAGGTATCAGGAACTGCCCATCTATCAAACTAATAACCACAATTAACTGATATTAAGTCGAGTTAAAAATATATTYTTATTATTCTTAGTATAAACGTTACTGAGCATAACTCCAGGAAGTAAACTGGAGCATTTAATACTGAAAACAAATCTTACAAAAATAAGACATCATAATCAGAGGTTAGATTATCAACTTTAAGAAAARTGTGTTATTGTGGTTGTTTGTTCCTGTTGTGAACTAGAATAGTTACCTTCAATAATTATAGTAACATTTAGTTTAGCCCCAGAGAAAGATTGCRGCATGACTCATTCTCAAGAAAAACGAAAGAGGTAAGAAACACTAACTAAATTAAAACCTCCACTTTTATTTCAGGAACTTAACTGTGTCCTACGACACACATTCTCTCGGTTAGGTGCTATTTTCAAAACAGTCTTGCAATGCACAACTCTGTGTGTTTGTGTGGACAGGTTTTTCCTACAACGTGGGGTATTTTTTACAAAAAGAAGCAGCCAGGTGGGGACCGAAGTGAATCGTGGGGACCATTGTCAGGTCCCCATG